GGCCGCTTCGGGGCCTGGGGGCAGCGCGGGTGCGCCCGAGGGCCCCTCACCCTGCGCTTGGCCTCCCTTTCAGCTCCGTGGCATCACATCGAGAACCTGGATCTCTTCTTCTCTCGCATATCCTTTCGCCGGGCGGTTCACGAAGGACGTGCCCCGGCGCCTGCGGGGCTCTCGGTGCTGGGGCGGGTGTAACTCGGGGCTCGGGCAGCGTCTGCCCCTTCCCGGACGCCTCTGGAGGGCCCCGAGGGGGGGCAGAAGCCCCATAGAATCATAGAATCATAGACTGGCCTAGGCTGGAACGGACCTCAGAGATCATTTAATCCAACCTCCCTGTCATGGGCAGGGACGCCAGATCTCGACTAGACCGGGCAACACATGGGGACCGAGTGGGAATCGAACCCACAACCTTGGTGTTGTCCCATGTCTGTGGGGTGCTGTCATCCGGCACTGAGGGGTCTTCTTCTAGGGATCCTTGGCAGAGCGGTGACGGTGCTAAGTTGTAGTTGCAATTAAAGCCTTATTTTCTTAACGGGATTTTACTATTAGCATAGCATTTATAATCAGATTAGCACAGGTTTTCTATAAGAAGTATCAGGGTAGTACAATTTTGGAAGGAGTGTGATACAGAATGTTGTAGCACTGCTTAGCTTCTGGTTTCTAATCATCTGGAGTCTGCAAACCGGGTCGTATCTTAATACATGGTTTGCTGTGTAACAATCATAATCTAGACTCAAAAATCATATAAAAGATTAGAAGTCACTCAATCCTTAGAGAAAGCAGATGATGGCAGGGATGTCCCTGGCTACTGGGACATCCAGTAGCAGCTCCGGTCCAAGTTCCAACTTAGGACTTGTAACTGCTTGATTTTGTGGGTGCCGTTACACTTCCCTGTTCTGTGACAAGGTCATCGCTGCCATCGGGTTGACTGGGTGCCTGGGACATTCAGGGCCAGCATGGAAGAGAGTAAGCAGTGTAGCGCCCAGGAATCTTGAGGACGGTAGGGAGGGGAAGAAGAAATCTGTTTGGTTTGTCTACTTGATTCAGAGAACTTACAGGGTCTGATAATGATGAAAAGGGAGCTAATAAGTGACCCACTGACTCACGGAGAACGGCTGCTCGCCTTGCAAGATGGCATTAGTTACTCTAACCACATAACTGGAGGTGGAAGCAGGGGATACTGGTCACAGGTGTTAAGGGTATTAAATACATTTTTGCCTGTCTCTGTGTTGTCCTGCCCTGCCCACCCTTGTGCGGCCTGAGGGCAGGCTGAGTTTCTGCTCTGTGCTGGGACAGACTCCCCTCTGGGTGTTGGTTTGAGGCAGAAAGGAGCTTGGATGCAGCCAAGTCCTTTTATCCTGACTGTGCTTTACCTGGGCAGAGCTGGAAAACCAGCTGCTGCTGAGCAGGGGTGGGAGGGATTTTGCATCGGTGGTGGAGGGAGAGCTGCTGATTCCAGCTGGAGAGAAGCTTCTCCATCTTTCACCAGAGAGAAGAAGGCTCCAGACCGTTCTCCTTGACTGTAGCTTATACGTCTATAACTTGCATCAGAAGAATGGCTTCACCTGCATGCTCATTGGAGAGATCTTTGAGCTCATGTAAGTGCGGGTTCCCCCCGTTTTGTGGCTGTGACAGCTGCTGGGCAACTGCCACAGGAATCTGCCAAGCTCCTGCAGCTGGCTGGGCGGGAGAGTTCTCATTGCAGTTGCCCTGTCTTCCCTTTGCTAGGGTTTTCCGTGCCCTGCGTTCCGCTTTGAGGAACTGGTGCCCTTGAGCTTCCCACTGTGACTGTGGGAGCCCATCTCTGTGACACATGACCCTGCCTGCTTCACCCAGAAGGGTGATTCCCTCATGCCTGCTCCCTTTTTTTCCACAGGCAGTTCATCTTCGTGGTGGCATTCACCACCTTTCTTATCAGCTGTGTTGATTATGACATCCTTTTTGCCAACAAAGCAGTTAATCACAGCCAGCATCCCAGTGAGCCCATTAAGGTGACTCTGCCAGATGGCTTCCTGCCTCCAAATGTCTGCAGTGCAAGGTAAGGGGAGGGAAGGGCATGTTAGCCACCCCTCTTGATTTCTCAGGTACTCAGGGCACCTGCCCGGGCCTGTCTTCCACTACTTGCCTCTTCTTGCTTGCAGAATCCAGGCAAACAGCTTCCTCATCTGCATCCTGGTGATAGCTGGGGTTTTCTGGATCCACCGACTCGTCAAATTTATCTACAACATTTGCTGCTACTGGGAGATTCACTCTTTCTACATCAATGCCCTCAAAATCCCCATGGTAAGAAGCTGGGACTGCTAAGGTCTGTAGGGGGCATTTGCTGAGTGGTGAGAAGCAGCTCGCCTCGACTCCTTTCCGGAGCCAGCTTCTCTGGGAAATCTTTACCAAGTGCTTTCTCTGGGCTCTATAAGGATATGTCTCCCTTCAGCCTTCTCTCCAGCAGCCAACTTACTTGGTGTTAACTCCTCCCTGCCCAGCCTGCCTCTCTGCCTGCTGGCACACGCCTCTGCCATCTGCCACCCAATATGTTTATTCTTCAGTGATGGCCTTTTCTGTGATGCCTTTCAGCAGAAAAGGCATAAGCGAGGATCTCCTGGTACTTCCCTGGGTTCTGGACAATGTCATCTTCCTTACTGGAAGGGGGAAAATGAGGCACAGAGCTACTTAGTTGATGAAGATCACGTTGGAGATGGGTGTGTCAAAGGTGGAGTTTGAGGCTTGCACATGAATCCTAGTGCACATCCTTTGAGGGGAGATCATGTCTTGAGAAAGGCGGGGTGAGCCAAGAGGCTTGGTTGTCCCCAGCTTTCCCACAGGCTCCCTCTGGGACACTGCTTAAGTCCCTTCCCCAGTTTGTGTCTCCCTGCTGACTCCAAACGGCAGCTCTGGGAGCCAGGGGCTCTGTTCGTACCTCTGAGGCAGCTGGTGTTCGAGAGGCTGGGACGAAGCCACCTGCACTGATCTAGGGGTAAAGGGCCCTGGGGCAGGGTGTGGAGTTTGCTGGCTGGAGGCTGGAGCTGTGCAGGCAGGTGCCTCGTGTCCTGGTGTCACACGTGCCTCGTCAGCACCCCGAGGTGGGTGTTGGGACCCACGGTTGGAGCAGCCATCTCTCCCCTAACCTTGCTGCTTGCCCTTCTTCCAGTCCACCCTGCCCTACTACACCTGGCAGGAGGTGCAGGCCCGCATCGTGCAGATCCAGAAGGAGCACCAGATCTGCATCCACAAGAAGGAGCTGACGGAGTTGGACATCTACCACCGCATCCTCCGCTTCAAGAACTACATGGTGGCCATGGTGAACAAGTCGCTGCTGCCCATCCGCTTCCGCCTGCCCCTGCTGGGAGACACGGTCTTCTACACGCGTGGGCTCAAGTACAACTTTGAGCTCATCTTCTTCTGGGGGCCTGGCTCCCTCTTTGAGAACGAGTGGAGCCTGAAGGCTGAGTACAAGCGGGCCGGGAACCGCCTGGAGCTGGCTGAGAAGCTCAGCACTCGCATTCTCTGGATTGGCATTGCTAACTTCCTCCTCTGCCCCCTCATCCTCATCTGGCAGATCCTCTATGCCTTCTTCAGCTACACGGAGATCCTGAAGCGGGAGCCGGGCAGCCTGGGTGCCCGCTGTTGGTCTCTCTACGGCCGCTGTTACCTCCGTCACTTCAACGAACTGGACCACGAACTTCACTCACGCCTCAGCAAGGGGTACAAGCCAGCTTCCAAGTACATGAACTGCTTTATCTCCCCGCTCCTCACCATCGTGGCCAAGAACGTGGCCTTCTTCGCTGGCTCCATCCTGGCTGTGCTCATCGCTCTCACCATCTATGATGAGGACGTGCTGGCAGTCGAGCACGTCCTGACCACGGTCACCCTGCTCGGGGTGGGCATCACGGTGTGCAGGTGAGGTGGGTCTGGGCTGCCCCTGTGCTCCTGGCAGCGATGGGGGGAGCGGTGGGGCTGGCAGCCATCCATGAAAACATGCTCTTTGGTTGCAAGTGGCTGTGGATCTGAGTGAAGGGCACAGCTGGGGAGAGTCAGGGGAGCAGGAGAAGGGGTAGCGATGACCTTGGGTGCAGTGGTTTTATGGCAAGAGGGTTGCTGTGGAGCTACACCCCAGGTCTGGGCTGGCAGAAGGGTTTGACTTGGATGTGAAGGCTACAGGCAGAGCTGTGATGCGGGCTGATCACTCTGCCCTCCCAAGGCGAGATCTCCCAGGAACCGAGGTGTGATGCTGTGACGTTTCCGTGTCCTGTCCTACAGGTCTTTCATCCCTGACCAGCACCTGGTATTTTGCCCAGAGCAGCTGCTGCGAGTCATCCTGGCCCACATCCACTACATGCCTGACCACTGGCAGGGCAATGCCCACCGCTACGAGACCAGGGACGAGTTTGCCCAGCTCTTCCAGTACAAAGCGGTGAGCTTGCCTGGTGTTGAGCTGGGATGGGGAATCGTGCCTGTCCCTGCAGGAGGGAGAAGCTGCTGGAAAGCCGAGCAGCTCCCAGGCCAGCAAAGTGGCCAGAAGATGGGAGGCTGGAGCTGCTGGGGGTGGCCTTGAGATGTTTTTTTTGACATCTTCAAGCTTGTGGTGAGTGCATCATCATCCCTCTGCTCAGGTCTTCATCCTGGAGGAGCTCCTGAGTCCCATCATTACACCGCTGATTCTCATCATTTGCCTGCGGCCCAAGTCTTTGGACATCGTTGACTTCTTCCGCAACTTCACCGTGGAAGTGGTGGGCGTGGGCGACACCTGCTCCTTTGCCCAGATGGATGTGCGCCAGCACGGCCACCCGGCGGTAGGTCCCATGGGTGGTGGGAGAGCAGCCTGAGCTCCCCACTGGCACGTCTGGTCCTTTAGACCCTGAGAGGCTGGAAGCCATCC